AGAGAGTCCAAGATGAAAAAGCTGCTGAACCATCTAGAGAGGCTGCAGGAGCAGAGAGAGCAATTGAAGGCATGTGAACAGATCGTGATCACCTCCGATGTGAAGAGGGGTTGTCAAGGCAGGTCACGAAGCCAAGTACGGCTGGGGCCAATACTTTGAAGGCAGATGGGAAGATTTAGGTCAAATTCGCAGGGAAAAGTTCTTCTCTCTTTAGCAGCGATAAAAGACTTGGGCTTGAGGGTGAACTCAGATGAATTCTGAGGGAACAAAAACAAGATTTTAACCTGTGAACTATTGTTATCTAATATAATGTATCTTTTCATATATCAAATTTTGCTTTACAATTTTCTGACTGAGTAAATCAAAAAGAACTTTTTAACGGTTTCTTAAGCTAAAATCCAAAGTGCAGTTAGATGCCAATTTTAATTACTGTTTAACTAAATAATGACAATTTTGCATGACTGCAAACTTCTGTAAGTGACCATTGGTACTGTTTCTTGATTCCGGGGAGTCTACTAGCCCATCCATCTTGATTCCGGGGAGTATATGCCAGCCGGTCAAATCTTGAAGCTTTATCTTGATTTTGCGTTTAAATTGATTTTAAAAAATTCGAATTGGCCATTTCATGCTCAGTTTTATCGCAGCGACTGATTGAAAATTCAGAAAATCAGAAGAATCGATTTCAAAATTGCGGGAAAGTGGACCAGAAATCAGATCTAGCGTCAAATTGCTATTCGCAATTTGAACTATTAACAACCTATTTGAGTAGAGATGTCTTGTTAATGACAGAGAGCACCGAGAACTCTTGCGAGAGCGTTAATAGTGGAGTGAAAAACACCTTGATTGGGCAGGTCGACCAGTGAAGCGACCTAAAGGTCCTAACGACAATACTTCGTGAGTTAAATACGTCCTGATCCTTGAGCCAACAGTTTTGTAAAGCCTATTTTTCTAAATCTCATTTCTGACGTGAGCGAACAATTGTTACAATTGTGAAGATATCAAGGCAATTGAAATGATCTGGGGAAAGCAGAGGTGGGGATCTGGGGAAAGCCTACCAATCATTCCAATTAGATATAGGACCGGTGCCTTTAAAAGAGCTTTCTTGATTCATAGAAACCCTGTCACGACGGCTGTGAAGCGTGTAGCTGGAATTTCTCGCAGGAACGATAGCGAGACGAAGGAGATCTTACGAGCTGAACTTGAGCGAAACGTTAGCTTGTGCTAACACAACAGTTTCTCTAGGAACGGGGAGCAGAAAAGGAACGTGGATCTCTTGACCTGTTACAAGCAGAGATTGTTGGATCATGACAATTGGGTATGGCTCGCAACTCTGCCGAGATGCTGCAGAAGATGCTAGAGGACAGTGAGATGGGAGAAAGTGAAGGACAAGAAGACGAGGCGCTGGAGTAAGAACGGATGGAGGAGACCAGTAAAGATGGAAGGTAAGAGAAAAAAGAAGCTGTGAAAAAATGACCAAGCCAACCAAGCTTGGTTATTGAAACTTTAAGCTTTTTCATTTGCTTAGAACCTGGTCAGATCAGATGTCGAAAGTGTTATAATTTTCTATTTAAAACGTTAGAAATCAACGCAAATTTTAGTTGATGACTATTTATTAATACAGGCGTGTAAGTGAGTATTTTATCTTACTTAAATCTGATTGAAAATTTTTAACCAGCATAGGACAATTATTCTTTTTGTGGCGACCTGGTAGGGTTTGGGTACGCTCGCTCGAGAAGGGTGGGTACCTCATTACCTTTTCCTAGTCTTAGAGTTTCTTAGTTTTAAAATTTAGGCATTTTTAAACAATTATGTTTGGTGAGTAACTCTTAGCTAATTTTAACGGCTGCGCGGCCATTCCACATCCCAAATTTTTTAAAGAAGCAGGGCGATAGTAAATTTTTGTAGTTGAATAACGTAAGTAGTGAGAAAAGACATGTTATCCGGGACAAGCTTCTTGGTGCATGTTTTTGTGAATATTTTGGAAGGCAGTTAAGATGTCGTATGATTCGATTAACGACACGCGGTGAGTTGAGGTAACATAGATAAACTTTAATTTCTGATGTGGGTTGTAAGTTCATGATAGAACATTGGAACATCATTTGTTGATAATTCGGAGTTAAGTTTTCAATGGGGACATTAATGACGTTGTCCGGGGTGTATTAATCATACCCCCGGATGGTACAGCCGAACCATCAGTGCACGACGAAATATATGTGAAAGGCCTTAATAGCGAGTATGAAGTGATAAGGAGACTCAGATTGCTCCAGAATGTTAATTTGTCAAATTTTTGACATGTACTGAAATATTTTTAAGAAATAAGAGAAACGGCTAATTTGACAATAGCAATGTGTCAATTACACAACAGTCGATTTCGAGACAAAAAACGGTGAAACAAGAGAGAGAAAAGTAAAAGAAAAACGAAGACTCTCATCGTGAAAAGACGACACGATAAGGTGCTAACTTGTAGATGAGAGCGTGAACGCAAGGTACAGTGGCACATTCGGGACGACGTTATCTCCGGGAAAGGTTAAAATTGGAGGCCCGATGCCCAGAGACTCTTTTAGGAAACATTTTAGCTGCTTTAATGCCCAGAACGCACTTAGCTTAACTCGATTTTGATTTAGTATTTCAGAGCAGTTACGGGCGAGGAAAGAGTCAATTAATCTCTAATGAATGTAATATATAGCTGTCACTAAAAATATCTCTAATTGTGGTTTACAGCCATGTTTTCAGTATTATTAAAGTTGTCTGGAAATCCTAGACGCAGCTATGAGCTTATTTTTCGCATTTAAACGAAAGTTGATTTAAAGTCTTTTGGCTGAGGGCTTAAAAATGCTAACACGATAGTTAGCACTTAAGCAGATCAGAAAATCATCTGGCTAGGTCAATAGGGTTTAAAACGAGTAGAATCAAGGTAACTGACGTCAGCCAGTCGTCAATAGGGAATTTTTCTATGCTCCGTCACTGTGTAATTTCAGAGCGAATGTCACACTGGAAGGTGAAAAAAGTGAAAAAAATGAGTCCATAAGAACAGACAATTGAATGCACGATACGCAAAGAGGCCATATATAAGTCGAAGAAAATCACAGAAATTCCACGTATCGCTTCCACTATCAAACAGGTTATTCTAGAGACCTCGATCTCAAAAATGACATGTGTACTGGCATTGTTTCAGAAAATGTACCCTTCGACAAAGCAGAAACCTTTTGTTGAAAAAATGTTTCGACTTGAAATCAGGGCGTGGATCACGCTGACGATTCATACAGCGCTAGTTTATCCTCTATTGTTACAATTTCATTGAGAGAAACTCAACAGCCGTCACTGGTGCTCCTAGATGGGCAGACAATTAGCCCTTCTTCAAACATCAAGAGGCTCCGAATGGTTAATTTAGAAGCACAGGCAGACACCAGTATTCCCAGATATTCCGGCAAAAGGAGTCATTAGGGTTAGGAGCCAAAAGCCCACAGGAGCCAACAAAAACCCCTACAAACGCACAGGTTTATTCTTCTGAGTTTTCTTAGTTGGTTAAATTAGTGTACATTTTTGCAGTTGTGTGAATGTCCATGAAAATTTTATAGCGTTACGCTGCACATAATTATAAGCGTTTCGTTCGGATGATTTTATCTAAATTCATTTTTTTGTGTCTTTTCTTTTTGTTTGACCCGGTACCTGAACCACTATCTAGTTACATTCGCCCTTTGAAGGGAAAAGTGGGTATTTGGCTATATATTCACATGGATGACATATTTTCCGATAGGTTTAGACTCTCTAATTAGTACCTGGCTTTGTATCACTCAAAGTACATTAACATTTATTCGAAGTGTTTTAACATAATTCTTATTTTTATTATTTAAATTTGTTTAATATTAGACTTAGTTAGATAAATGAAGTCTTTCTCCCCTAATCTAATTAGGGGTATAAAGTTTGGATTCTTTAGACGTCATATTTGAGAGTAAAGTAAATTTGTTTTTTTTTATAAAAAGTTTGGGTAATTAGGGAAATCAAAAATAATAAAAGATATAATTCACATAAAAACCTTTCTACAACAATGTTTTACTCGCACATGAATTGAAGATTTTATTATTTCTAGGGGGGGGATCAATTTTCTAGGAGGAAATGTTACGGCAGGTCTCTGACGCTGTGAAGTTGTAAGGTCGAAGTTTTGTTTCAAGGATCAGGAAAAAGAAAAAGATTCAGAGGGGACACAAACATTTGACTTGTTTTAATTCCAAAAAATGACTGCAGCGGTGAAATTCTTGTCAAAATAAGGTCGTTGTGGTGTTTTTGGAGAGTTCATTAGTGTCTGCACAGTAGGTTTTCTGAAAAGAAAAACGTCGGGGCTTGTACCATTTAGCTCCATTTTTCAACTGGTTTCTAAAAAGAACGTTGAGGATGGAGGTTACTTTGTTTTTTTTTCTGAGTCTGGAAGAACAAATAAATCAGAAATTAAGCCAAAGATGACTTCAGCCGACTTTGGAGGTTAACTGACGATCGCTCAGACAATCATCAGACAAGCATCAAATCAACACGCAATAAAAGTATCAGATCAAATTTTAAATTCATTTGCAGGAAAACAATCAAGAGCCAAAACAATATTAAACTGATAGACGAGTAAAAACACCTGTTGTATATTTAAAAGCTTGAAAATATTTTATTATGATTGTTGTAATGATTTTAAAAAATGATTTTCTTTACTCGGGTCAAGGCTCAAGTTTTATATCCGAACTATCGCAACAAAACACTATTTCCAAAATTTTCAGATAGGTGAAAAGTGTGATTTTTGCGAATAAAAACATTTCGAGACCGGCACGATAAGATGCAGATACTCACAACTGATTCAAAATTTTTGCGAAACCTGTAAAGTTTTTCTGTCCCTAAAAATTTTGAAACGTTGGTATAGCAAACAACATCAGAATCACGTTTTGGACATTTTATCAAGATGACTATACTTAAAAATTGAGCTATAATTTGAAGTTTTGGATGAACTTAAGAAATCCGGACATAATTTGCAGACCCTGACCCGGATAATTGTATGCTAGGCTATTATTGCTGTAAACGATTTGAAAAAAAAACATTATCTCATTTTGTTTTCTTCCATGATATGGGCATAAATCTAGGCAAGCCTTGATTGACTCCTGTTTCGTCGTGCGCTTTGTGTGATTTTGGGTACAGAACTTGTTTTTTGTCTTTTCCCAGTAGAGCTCCAAAATCTCCGTACGTTCCGTAGGATAAAATCACTACATCGCTCATTGCTATTAAAGCCATTTCTACACCTAAATATAAAAGTTGCTTTACATTGCTGACAAATAGAATAAGACTGCGCGTTCTAGGGTGAAGCTTTGAATGTTCTCATTGCATTTTAACGTATTTGGAGTAGTGAAAGTTTTCAGAAATTGAGTGACATTTAAAAAAACAAAGAAAAATTAGTTTTTTTAAATCATCGCCCCATACACTGTTTAAAGTACAAAGGGATATATTTTGCTTATTGAGAAGTTGAATTGAAAATAGCTCGCCTCAATTCCATTTAAAACCATTTCTAAGAGCAATTTATTCTCCACTGTGTTAATAGCATGAAATATATCGCCCGTTAATTGTACTAATTTGCGCAAATTGGCTATAATTGAACCCCCTTAACGTCCGAAAATATGATCACAGGTGGCATATCTTTTTAATTTTGAGCTCAGGAAACAATAACTTTTGAAATATACTAAAAATTCTGGGCAAAATAGTAAAAATCAAAACATGCCTGGAAAAAAATCCAACCGAGCACAATTATTTTATCAAAAATAGCCGGAACAATCATACTAGTTCTGGATTCTAAATGAGTCTGCTTTTCGTGTGGTTTTTTTTCCAAAATAAAAACTAATTTGACGTAACGTTTTTCCAAAACATTGTTGACATCGCTATTAAAGCCATTTCTACGCTTAAAAGCAGTCTGTTTTTCGTTTGGTTTCTTTTCTCAAAAAAATTACTCTTAAGGTAGCGTTTTTGACAAAAAATTCATAGCAACTCCAAAGATTGATACCCTTATGATGTCAACTTTAGTAAAATCGGTTTGAACAAAAAAACCACCCCAAGCATATATATTCCTCACTGTCTTGGAACGTTGGAACAATAAGACTGCTCATATCAGGTTGAAGCCCTGAATATTCCGACTGCCATTTAAGGTCTATGGGGTGCTGTTTTTTTGAATCAAAATTGATGAAATTTTTTTAAAAAGAACATTTCAAAATATTAGACTTTCATGAGAACCATCCCCCTCACGCTTAAGTTAGGACCGAATTAAAAAATATCACTACTATTTATGTTAGCATTTATGACAAATAGCCTGCTTCTACCAATTTGGAAGAATTTCTTAGACTGATGAAAAATGTTCACGCATAAAAAAGTGCAAAATAGACCGCGCTATTTTTATCCCAGATTGGAAATATTGGTAATCTCTAAACCACCATAACATTACAGATGAGCCCAAATGTGAAAATATCTTTTCAATTCTGAATTATGGGCATTAATATCTTTCGACTGAGTTTAAAAAAATTGTCTGTAGAATAAAACCCACCTCGAGCACAAGTAGTTTTGAATCGTGTCCCGGATCCTTAGGAGGATCCCTCCTCAGGGGGGCCCTCATGTAAAGCAAAATCTTAAGAAAAGGGTCCTTAATATTTGAAGGAACCCTATTCTAGCATTTTGTAAATGAACGTAAGCTTGCACGCATAAATTAGAAGACCCTCTACTTAGAATTTTGATAAGCTTAACTTAAAAACAAGGGACACGATATATAAATTCTTCCAATTCGAAGTTTTTGCTTCTCATTTTTGTGTCCTGGTTAATTACATTAATCAGATTGATTGGTTTGTATCGTTCAGACAAATGAACGTTTGACCTGGTTTAGAATTGTATGTGGAATGGAGTTTTGTGGTAAATAATCAAAATTTGAGGCGATTGTGGCGGCGTAGCTTAACTGTTGGCAGCAGTGAACCATTTTCTCAACTTGTGTTAAGTTTTACAGAAAATTAATAACAGTCTGCAAGAGCAGCTGCCATTTCTAGGCAAAATATCAGCTAAAGATAAGTTTGTCAAGTTTTGAAGAAAAAGAGGGCATTTGACAATCTTAAAATTGAAGGGCATTTGATGATCTGAAGACATTGAAAATGAATTCTTACAATTTAGGGTTGAAAAGTTTTATAAAAATTTGCAGTTTATAGAACCAGTTAAGATCAACAGAAGCATGATCTACACAAACAGAAATATGTAGGATTTTTTCTGCTAATTCACTATCGGTGTCTTGAATGTCGTTTATGTGTGACGTAATTGTCTTTTTTGACTCGTTAAAACTTTAAATTTTCTGTTTTTTTTCCAGTTTCATTGTGATTTCAGCTTGTTCTGGTTTGTCTATGAGATGAAATCAATATCTGGTTCGCGATTTGATGATTGATGTCATGCTCTCTTTTCTAATGCTATTTTCTTAATTGTGGTGTTAAAATTATAATGAGAACTTTTGTCATTTTCAGGTTTTTATAATCGTAAGTATTTAGAGAATATGCTTTTCGTATCAAAAATTCTAATTTTACAGCGAGTTGCCTTATAGTCTCATTTCTGCGAGTTTCATTGCACAGTACTCTTTGATGTTGTTTGTTCCTTTCAGAGACAAACATTTTTGGAAACTCTTGTGTAAAACCTTTCCAATCGAAACTTTTTCTTCTAATGAACTACGTCTAATGACACTTAAAAAATCAATTTAAACGAAAACTCTACTTCAAGACACATAAAAACCCAAAGTGTTTGCTCTGGCTAAATTACACTCATTAGCATGAAAAATTGATGAAGTGCTTGGAATAAAACTTGCTGTTTTTTTTGTTTCACCACACTGCAAGCTGCCAATAGGTTGCCATTAAATCATAACAAAACAGGGCAAAGAAAATTATATCACATCTTTGAGATAACTCCAGCAAAATGTTTCTTGAGTCGCAAAACTCGCATAAAGCCAACTCGTCATAAGCTTCCAAAAATGACTTTACAAGAAAAATTTTTTTATCGAACTTTACTTGATTTTAGAACATGATAAAATCAATATACAGGAAATGGGGCCTTCAAAAGGCGCAACTCGCACGTTTGTTCGAAACCAACTAAAACCGACTGCATTGAACGGATATTTTCACAGCCCATTCAGTTTGAATTGGAAAAGATTTTTTAATCAAACAATTGATCTAGGAGAATTATTGTCAGAAATTTTCTGAAAAAGTTGTACAAAAATTTCACCTTAATACGTAGTTGAAGATACTCATCGATAAAAATTGTTTCGAATCGGTCAAAACACTTTATAGAAGAAATTACCCAAGTTGTTGATTAATCAAAATTCAATGTGGGAATTAACTTTAAAAGACAAATTTGTTCAGTGTTGTTCACGAGAATCAATACCCATTTCTTTGGTTTTTGCTTTACATGAGACCCTCACCCTTAGGAAGGACCCATTTCGTCCTACGAGAATCAAGGACAAATTTCGTAGGTTTTTGTCTTTACGTGAGACACCCCCCCCCCCTTTAGGAAGGACCTCCCTTCAGAATCCGGGACACGATACAATACTACTAGCACAAATATTCGTCCATTTTCCTCGAAAGTCGCAATATTTAAAGAGAACGTACAAACCTTCATATGTCTTTCTCTTCAGCATTTTTGTCTCAAATGGGGCAACAACGACAACCTTGTAAGAATCGAAGTCCTTTTTGTGCGAACGTAAGAAATTGGCTACATCTGAGTCTGTGTGGCCAACAACGTAGAACACTGGGTTCTAAAATATAGACAAAGCAGCTTGAACTGTTTTTAATCAAGATTTGAGCAATTAGATTACTTTTAACTTTGCTTTAGATACGATATCTTACCAAATCTTATTAGAATCATGCAAGACTTTAGTTTATTTCGAAATGTGTTGTCTTTTAACAATCGCATAAGTCTTGCAAGAAAACCCTTTATGTCATTTTGTGATGATAAACTACGCTTTTTTAAATTCATATCTGATTTGAATAGGGAACTTTGATTCGGATGGCGCAATGATTCACTTTCTCAGGTTTGGATGAAGAAAAAGTGAAGAAAAAGAGTCAACTTGCGTTGTACGTGTTGGACACATTCTTGAAGGCTTCCTGCATATAGTTTGTCGAAAAGAAGACTTCGGGTCCCCATTTGTGACCCCGCAAGTGACCTGCATTCGCATGTGGACATACACAACGGAACAATTGGTCTCTATTGAACAATTGTTCACTTCATTCAATTTCTTAAAGATCAATCTCGCATCATTCCACACGTCTTCGTTGAAGAAAATTCGAGAACGGAATTCGGCAAAATGAGCTAAAATGTCAGCGATACACATCATAATGGTTATAAATAAAACACCACATGGTTAGAAGTTGGAAATGCCAGCCAATCAAAAATCTTGTATTTTAAATCCTGTTCTAGTTAGATGAACAGTGGTTAGAAGATTTTAATTGTTTCTATTTCGGGAGAAGATGTTTACTCGGTCCGTTTTTACTAAGTTACATCGGCCAAAAAATGAATTATCGGATCAATTTCACATCATTCTGCGGATCAATTTCACATCATGCACCTAAATCAGTTCACGGAAATGATTTTGGCTTGATTTTGTAATACTGGGTTCAGGACCGTTGTTTTAATCAAAAGCATGTGAACAAAAACTATGATTTTCTGAGGGAGCGGATTGAAGACAACCCGTTTGATCTGTAAAAAACATTGTAAGAGGCCTTAAGCATAGTTTCCGGGTCTAGTTGCCCGAAATATGCTTCGACTGTGAAAGCTGAGCAGGTGCATTTTTACGACTGAAAATCCGCAATCAAGAAGCATTTTGAAGTCGAGCACAAAGTCGAATTCTAACTGACTTCGGTCGAGAAAGACAAAAAAAGAAGCCGAGCACATTCGTAACATATCCAAATTGGAAGCATAGGTCGAGCACAGTCGAAACATAGGTCGAGCACAGTCGAAACATAGGTCGAGCACAGTCGAAACATAGGTCGAGCACAGTCGAAACATAGGTCGAGCACAGTCGAAACATAGGTCGAGCACATCGAAACATAGGTCGAGCACAGTCGAAACATAGGTCGAGCACAGTCGAAACATAGGTCGAGCACAGTCGAAACATAAGTCGAGCACAGTCGAAAAATAGGTCGAGCACAGTCGAAACATAGGTCGAGCACAGTCGAAATATAAGTCGAGCACAGTCGAAATATAGGTCGAGCACAGTCGAAACATAGATGAACCACAGTCGAACTGACTCAGGAAAAATGGGCTTATAAAGGCAAAAGTCGCCGTTTTTTGCCATAACAAGTGCAACAACAAGCAAATAGCACAATAAATTAGAATATATATATACACACACATATATTTAAACATTAAAAAATTTATATGTTCTTAACGTTCAATTAGGTAGACCAGCATGTTTTTGATCATATACAGAACCACCAAGGTAAGGCCTACACCTTGTCCCAATGTGAAAAATAACTTATTTTCTAGCGACAACGACAAGACAACATTGTCAAAACAAAAACGCAAAGCTAGAAAAACAATGAAATTAAACTGAAATATTTCATTGTAATTTGCCTAAGAATAATGTCAACTTTTTTTTTCAAAAAACTAGATAATTCAGAACCCATCCAAAAAAAAAATATTTGTGGAATGACGCAAAAATTCCTAATTATGTCTCGAAACTGGAAACTTTTGATCATTTCTGAACTTGTTGTCAGAAAAAATCAAAGAGTTTTAGAATCGTTAACGAAAAAAATATGTTAACAGTAACTCTGTAGCTCTTAAACATACGTGCAAAAAACGCGTAAATTTGATTAACATGCTGCAAATTGAGGAGTATTTTCTCATCATGTGTGCAAAATAATGTCAATGTTTCAAAAAAAAATCGAAAATAGTTCAATTTCTAAAAAATAACTTACAAATATAGATTTAAATTTTAAAAAAGTTATCAAAAATCAATTTCAATTTGATTTCAAAATCATTTTCAAAATTATCAAAATCAATTTCAATTTCAAAGTTAAAATTTATGTCGTTTTTCTACGCAAAATGGGAGATTTTTTCCCATTGTTTTGATTGTTTGTACATTTTTGCTTCAAACAGACTCGAAATTTTGATTTATTTAAAATGAAATTTTTTAATTGCACAAATAAAAATTCGCACAATCTTTGTTCACAGTTCCTCAATCGACGAGCTGTCGAATATTTTTGCAAAGAACGTAAGTTTTGAAAGAAGTAGAAGGTAAATCTAGTGTCGCTTACGTTGCTGTTGGTTTTCTGGGTGATTCGCTCACTGGACTCATACAGTTTGAAAAGCTCCGTCCTTGGTGAATTAGGAATTAATAGAATGGTTGGGCAAAAGTTCTTGTTGTCAAAATCTTGATCAATATGAGAAATTCAGGAAACTCTGTTTTAATGGAACTTTAAACTATTTCCTTTCCAGTTGGAGCAATTTTCAATATGGTAAATTGCAAAAACAAATCTTACTGTTTTCTGCCAATAAAAATAGAAAAGACACAAAACAAGTAAAATTAAGATTATTACGGATAGTCTAATACACTTCATCAGTTATGTTTTAGGTACTAACCAATTAGAAAAATTTGATTAAACCATGTTTTGATCTGCGTAGAAAATTTCCTGATATTGATTGTTATTCGCATGAAAAATTGATTGTTTTACCTTTTATCTGGCAAAGTTTCATTTTTTCGAAAATTACTTAGAGGAATTATCACTGAACTGAACAAAATTTCATTCAGAGAACTTTTTCAAAATCAGCTATTTCATCAAAATGTTTCACTCTTGATAAATGTTTTGTTGTAAAAAAAAGTTCGTATCCCATATCCTCATCTTAGTTGAAACTTTCCTTTTTTGATTTATGAGGCGGCCGTTTTTTTTGCGAAGTGCTTCTAGGTGTATGAAAAGTTGTTGTTCAATTTCTCTAATTCTTTTATTTGAGTTTTCGCCATTTGTTTTGGAAGATATTTCCTGAAATGCTCACTTAACTGGAAATTTATACTAAAAGTGAGAATGTTGAGAGGTACAGTATCAATCTCAAAGGGAAAGAAAATAGCTCATTTTTTCTTTTATTGTGTTTTCTTTCGGACTTCCAAGATTTTCATCAGTTGTTCATCATTTGATAATATAAAGTACAATTTGTTCTGTCAAACTCCTATTAGTTCATTTAATTTGCAGATATTTCAACGAAAATAACTAAAAAACGATAATTCAATAAAAACTTGATATGGTGATTTTTTAACCTAGTTGTACACAAAAATTATGTTAACTCTTTAACGGGTACTCATTAGATAAAATGGTTTTGGAAATTGATAACGAAAATTTTATCCAGTGCTGATTTAAATTAACCGGACAAAACGCGTTAAACTTTAGTTTCATCTTTTCATGTTTAACGTCTGCATAGAACGTTTCATGTTTTATTTAACCAGTTGCAAAAATCGTTTTTTCTCAAAATCATTTTGCGGCATCTGTTTTAAGTTGGTAAAGTTGGCAAGTTGTGGGATCTGTTTCAAGTTGGTAAAGTTTTTGTAATTATCTTGTTTTATACTTTTTTTTCTTAATAAAAACTAGTCTAACCAAAAAATGCCTTAATGACACAAAAAGAAAAATCACACAATTTTTTTTACAAAATTTTAATCGGAGAGCTGTCGAGCAACAGTTCGCGATAGAATTCAATCGTTTTCTAGTTTTGACTGCCCATGGCTCTCTGGGGGCTTACTCAATAAAACCAGAGGTGCTGAAAACCGCATATTTTTGTCAAATTTGAATGGATTGTCAACTGATTATTCCTCACCATTTGCTTGCCTGTTTTTTTTGGATTAGTCTATATTACCGTTTATACGATTTGATATAAAGCATGATTATTATATTGTTTTGATTAAATCGCCTTTTCTCCAATCAAACCGAAATACAAAAAATGATCGCAGGTAGATTTTCTAAGTTTCAAGCTGAAAAGATCAATAGTTTGCAGTTGTTTTAGAAAAAAAACTTATTTATGTCATTTTTTTTTTGAGAACAAAATTATTTTATTTTGAGTTTGTTTTAGTATTTAGCACAAAAAGATTCAAACCGAACACAAATACTTTTTTTCGAAATAGCGCATTTCCATGTTTTTGCGAATCTAGAAAAGAATCAGGTTCAGAAATAAACACTGCGCATGCAGAAAACGTTTGGTTTAAATTTTTCATCCTCAAGTATCTCGTTCATGGTGAAAAAACAGCGTGGACATAAATTATTCCGATGCCATCGATTCTGATTTCTCTTTTCTGCATATGAAGTACTCACCCAAAAGAAATCTTGTATCAATTCGGAATCTCAAGTTTCATTGAGAGTTTTTCGTCATTCGATCTCTTTTTCTTCTCGAAAAATCAGTGCTGATTTAAGTTATTTGGACGCCTTGGATTTTGTTTTCAGTCTTTTAACAGTTTTTGGACTATCGTGATAGATTTAAGTTTTCTATCCTTGATTTTCTAAAGCAGTGGCTCCACTTGGTAAACAAATTATGTAAAAACGAGTTTTTGTTTTAGACCGACAAAATTTAATAATCATATAATGACATAAATTTTGCAGTTTAATTTGCAACTATTTGTTTGAAAACTATTTTGAAGCATCTAGGGCAAAATATTGGATATTCTTCATGTGAGGCGGCCTAATTGGCGGTATCTCTAGACAGAATTCGTTCAAAAGTTAACAAAGTACTTATTGACTTTTTTTTCACTAAATCAAGCCAATAATTACCCATTTTGGGGAACATTTTCGCAATACAAAATGCGTCATAAAAAAATTGCTGAACTAATCTCAGGCCAATTTGATACAACTGCGTTGCATTGCTAGATGCGTTGCACAGCTTTTTTGCCTCATTATCCCAAAATGGCCAAGCTACCAGTTTCAAAACCCCGACTTTACAAAAATTGAACGCCCGTGAAACACTTTTAGTTTCACCAGCGTTTTTTCTGTAAAGTTGGGGTTTTTAAACTGAAATTTTGGCCAATTTGGGATAAATTAGAAAAATAAAGTTGCAACTCATAATCTAGCAATGTAACATATTTTTATCAAATTGGCCTGAAAGTACATCAGTATTTTAGGTAAAAAAATTGAGCTGATTTTATCGACATCGTTAGGACAGTATAAAAAAATTTAATATGTTTTTTGTGATTTTATTCAAAAAGTGGAGCAACAACCTCAACCTCAGCTGGTGGGTTTTAGCAAATCGAAATCGAGTATTTTACGAAATACTGAGCAAATTTTTCCCAAATAGATTCTCGCTGGATGGTGGATGCTCGGCTCAAGCAAAAAAACTTTAAAAAATTTCAACTGCAGTTGAAAGCTTTCAATTTTTCTTAACTTCAGTTTTTTAGCGCATCTTTTTGACTGAGTGTGTGTTAGTTTTTCTGAAGATTTCATATTCAACATGGGCGTATTCGGTTCATTTGATTTAGTTGGATGTTTCTTTTCCATCAAGTTTTTGTGTTGAATTCCCGAAACCAAAAAAAAAATCATAGGAAAATTTTTGAAATAACTTTAAAATAAATCTTGTTGACTCTGGTTTTTCTTCTTCCCATTTGTAAAAGATCAAAATGCATCTCCAAGACAAATTACAGAATGGGTGAAAACAAATTTTTTTTATAAGTTATCTAAAAAACTCTTTTTTCTATGAAAAATTATTGAACAAACTCATGGTTCACATTTAGAAAAAAGCGTGATAAAGTTCCTTTTTTCCTAGCAGGCCTGTCGCAAAATTTGGTTTTCCCTATCCGAAAAACTCAAGCAAGCTTAAGCCAAAATTTCGTGAAAATTTCCCCAATCAAAAGTTGTAAAATCTCTATAAAATAGAATAAACCCGGGTTGAAGTCCCAACGTTAACTAGCGCTTTTTCTGTAGTATCCCGGTAATCGCTTTGTTCCAGCCCTGGTTCATGTAAATATCAAAGCATTTTGCATAGCTAAGCCTAGGATATTTCAGAGCTTTTTCAGTAATGATTCCGTAGAAAATCAGCGCTAAAACTTAAGAAATTTTACAGCATTTTAATAGCCTTCAAATAAGAGTGTGAGTTTATAAGCCCTTCAGTTTGTTCAAAGCTAACTATTCGTGGCGCAAAGGGCAGCAGATATGTCTACTAAACTGATGGGTGCTGGATTGGATCCCAGTAGAGCATTAATTTTGCTCGTTTTGATATGATTTTTATCGCTGTTTCATCACTGAAAAATAGCCAAATAAGCGATTTTCAAATGATAAAATTTGCTATTGTGGCAATGAACATCGATAGTTCATTGATGGGGATCTCACCCCGGGAAGGGAATGTGAACTCACACTCCAGGAAGCCAAAACTAAAAATTCTCTAATTAAAAAAGTAAAATTCCAAAAATAGAGTTATTGCCGTAAGTCCTCTAAATTAATTATAAATTCTCTGACAACTAGTTTAAATTGTTTGACCGAAAAAAATTCCGTTTCTTTCTATTTTTGTTTTTCTGACTCGTTTTTTTTAAAAACATCTTTTTTGAGTTTTCCAAAGCTTAAGCAATTCAAAACGGCTGAAGCTCCTGTCACCCATCCATTTTCTACTGCTTCAATTCGAGACTTTGCGTGACTCAAGTAGGGAATATTCGGATCTTTGCGCAATCTTCGCGACTCAAAAACCTCTGTGCGACTGCGAAATTTAGAAGCGCAATCCCTTTCGCGCGATGGGACGGTATTCGGTCGCGACTTGAGTTGCAGACATCAAACCGGGTGGTGAAAAAACTACACGAGCGTGAAAAAACTACACAGATAGAGTGTCACTTTCATCGAACGACAACCTCAACCTCGCTAAAATTTTCAACCAATATAAATTGAAGATTTTACAAAACTCTGAGCAAATTTATTCCAACATAAACAGTGGGATGAAAAATACTCGCATCAGGCGAAAAAGCTTAAAACGTTCGACTGCTACTGAATTTTCCACTTTTTTAAATACCACACATGTTGAGAAGTTTTTAAATCCGTTTCTATAGCTCCCTTTGCGTTATTTATACCCAATATTAGCATAAATAAGTGGTATTCGGTACATTTGAATTAGATGATTTGACTGTTAAAAAAGTGTTCCCTGTTGCCTCGGGATTCGAACCTGGTTTAGTTCAGCTTTTTTCTGTGTATTTTTTTGTAGAATCAAAGGGTCGGTTTAAGATCTCACCGTTAACGAAGAATGGTAGAAAAGTGGGCCAATGAGGAAGTTGAGCCCGCTTTCCTTTCATGTCATCTGGCACTTCTCCGTAGGCCTGGACTCCTTTTTTCCAGATCTCTTTCACCGATGGTTCCACATACCGACCTGGATCTGTTGGTTTCTCAAGATTGCAATCTAAAAACGATACCTTAAAAATAAGTGGCTTAGAGCATTTGAATTCCGATTTTTGAAGAAAGCAGTCTACTAAAAACTGGATCAGTGTAATATCCTCCCAGACTAATTTAATATATGCATTTGGTAAATTATAGAACCATTAATAAATAAAACCCCGATGTCCCGAGTGGGAAGAATGGAGGCAGCGCCGAACTGGGCAAGAGACGGGTTCCTTTTTGAAGCAAAACCAAATGGCATAAACATATTTCGCCGCTCTTAAAATTAGTGACGCATTTTCGTCCTTAATATCTTACGCTCAAAAGTCAAGTAAAGCATGCTACTCAGGTTGACAGGATCAAATTATGCATGGACCTTATGGATCTAACGAAGTCTGATGATTGAATCGACACATCGAGAAAAAATTGAGAAAAAATTAACCTCGTACACAGTTGATGCACAAATTAATCAGGGCAAGTCGATACATGAGTCAACCAGGGTCGTTAACTGAGTCAACCAGGGTGGACACATGAGTCAACCAGGGTCGTTAAATGAGTCAACCAGGGTAGATACATGAGTCAACCAGGGTCGTTAAATGAGTCAACCAGGGTAGATACATGAGTCAACTAGGGTCGTTAAATGAGTCAACCAGGGTAGATACATGAGTCAACCAGGGTCGTTAAATGAGTCAACCAGGGTAGATACATGAGTCAACCAGGGTAGATACATGAGTCAACCATGGTAGATACATGAGTCAACCAGGGTAGATACATGAGTCAACCAGGGTAGATACATGAGTCAACCAGGGTCGTTAAATGAGTCAACCAGGGTAGATACATGAGTCAACCAGGGTCGTTAAATGAGTCAACCAGTGTAGATACATGAGTCAACCAGGGTAGATACATGAGTCAACCATGGTAGATACATGAGTCAACCAGGGTCGTTAAATGAGTCAACCAGTGTAGATACATGAGTCAACCAGGGTCGTTAAATGAGTCAACCAGGGTAGATACATGAGTCAACTAGGGTCGTTAAATGAGTCAACCAGGGTAGATACATGAGTCAACCAGGGTCGTTAAATGAGTCAACCAGGGTAGATACATGAGTCAACCAGGGTAGATACATGAGTCAACCATTGTAGATACATGAGTCAACCAGGGTAGATACATGAGTCAACCAGGGTAGATACATGAGTCAACCAGGGTCGTTAAATGAGTCAACCAGGGTAGATACATGAGTCAACCAGGGTCGTTAAATGAGTCAACCAGGGTAGATACATGAGTCAACCATGGTAGATACATGAGTCAACCAGGGTCGTTAAATGAGTCAACCAGTGTAGATACATGAGTCAACCAGGGTCGTTAAATGAGTCAACCAGGGTAGATACATGAGTCAACCAGGGTCGTTAAATGAGTCAACCAGGGTAGATACATGAGTCAACCAGGGTAGATACATGAGTCAACCAGGGTAGATACATGAGTCAGCCAGGGTAGATACATGAGTCAACCAGAGTAGATGCATGAGTCAACCAGGTTCGTTATTTGAGTCGACCGGGGCAGATACATAGGTTGAGCAGGGTCGATATATGAGTCGACCAAGGTCAATCAAGGTAGAAAAATGCGTCGATAAAGTTCGACGAAATTGGAAAAATTAAGAATGAATAGCTTAACTTTCAATCATTTCAAAATGAATAACTTACACCAGCAACAATCATTAGCAAGATCAGCAGACTCAACAACAACAGCCAACAACCAGCATCAATAATATGAAGCCCAGAACGAAATCAGCATAGCCGACTTATTTCTATGACAGCTCTAACCGATATCAGCCGAGCCGAGCTTCTAGTTTTTAAATTTAGGAACCACACCAACCCCCTTTTTTCTTTATTAAATTTTGAAATTGCAAATTGAGGCCGGCTGTAACGTGTCCTATTGCATCAATTGACATATAACCGAGCTGTTCACTGCAAAATTGGAAACTCTGCCGAAATAAATGGAATCAGACAAACTCAAAAAAGAAAAATAGCAAAAATTGAACTAAATATAACTTGCAACGAAATAGTTCAATACTTTTAACTTCTAGAGAGTGGGAAATTTGATAAGAGAAAAAAAAGAGTACACCATTTGTTTTCTACAGAATCAGACTGCTGCTTTTGAGTTTTTCCTCATTATGCTCTTAAATTTTTTCCGTTTTTCTTAGTTTGACTTTTGTTGCAATTTGAAAGTACACATGTTAGTTCATAAGCGCTGATTGCTATATTAGGCACGGGTGCTGCCTCATTATAATTTTTCAGCAATTTAACGTTTCCCAAAGTTAACAAAGTTAAATTTTCTCAAGATATCAAAGACGAGTTTCGCTCCTAATTTTCTCAGGCTCTCATTTTTTGATTGAGTTTTTTTGATGTTTTTTATGTTGACTACGTGTTTTTTGTCTCTGGTCAAGCCAAATTTTTTCTCACGGTCGTTAGTATTCAATTTTTTTGCAGTCTTTCAGCCAAAACTAGGATACCGTCATCTGCACAAAATGTCACTTTTCAGTTCACAAAAATTTGATCTGATCATAAAATAAATCAGAAAAAGAAGGGACCCCAAAATTAACCCTGCAGAAATCAGAGGAACCCGAAGAAATGGTTTTAAAGAAAACGTTTTATTTTCTACATTAAAAATATGGGATCGCCCACCTAGGTATGTGGGGCTTGGGTTTTCTTCACAAACCTTTAATCAATAAGTCCTTCAATTTTGCATCGAAAATCAAAGGTCAAATATCTGAAAAATTTTGAGAAGTCAAGTGTTGTGTGTTTCACTGTATCATTGTCATTTAAAAGATTACCGTAGACATTTACTTATTTCCGTCATTGCTTCAAATTTTCCGTGATTATTGCATAAACAAAACAGTGCAACCGCCAATACTTACTTTGGATCTACTTAACAATCTCCCCCTTTCAAGAAAGGGGGGGATCTTTAGTAGGTACAATAGGGGGGGGGGGGGGGTAGATCCAATACTTTTTGAAATCCTTTATTGAGCATACAGCATCAATAAATTTCATGTGGTATGAAAAATTCATACGGCACGGAGTGTTATCTGACAAAAAACCCGAGCACATCTGTTTTTTCTTTTTTCAAAATTCGGAACAAACAGCGTTATAGGAAACGTTTTCTTAAAATTTAAAAGGGGCGAGCTGAAATACTGTCGTAACTTTGCGCTATATTCCAATCATAAACTGCCGATTTGACTTCAAATTACATTTTTAATCAAATATCAGATGCCTTTCAGATGTAACAACAAACTTCACTGGAAAGGGCTTGGTAAAAAGCCAGTTTTTTTTCGAAAGTCGGCGACATCGCAAAATACAAACCTAACAAACTTATCTAAGGTCAAACGGCGTACCTTTCGGCAGACTCATGCAAAATGCGGATCCATCATTATTTCGGCACAGTCTACTGACATTGAAGACTGGAGATAAAATTTCTTGCTGGCGAGTGCTCAACATAAGTTTGATTCCAAACTGCAGATGGACAGCGAAGCCGAATGCCAGGAGTCCTAACTCGTTTCCTAGGCCACTACGGCATACTGACGAACTGTAGCCATGATAATCGGCGTAGTTCTGGAACTCCTCGCATTTCTGCAAAAGAGGACCGTTTTCGTATCCAGATTTGTATATTACTGCACTAAAAACCTCCGGGAGTTTTTTGTCTTCTTCACTTTTTGGAGCAATTAAAATAGTTTGCCGGAATGATTGATGTATGTACACCGAGATAATAACGTTTAAAGCGAGGATTATGAATACAATAAAAATTGATTTGCTGTATGAAACCCGATCTGTAGCCATAAACTGCAATAAATTTAAGAAACAGCTATTTTATATTATATATCTATCACTAAAAATTTTGCGTCTAATATAAGAATCTTATACACGATAGCTATAACACTGTTTTGGTAGTGCGTGTAGTTTTATGACTTGTACGTAGAATATTGTTGGTGTCCATTATAACTTTCAATCATGAAGATATGATTCGAAAACTTTTTAAGACAGAAACATTCATGAAACATAAAAAAATGTTCAGTTTTGTCTTTGCAGTTTTTGAAGATGCACAAGGCTATGGTAAACGTTTATATGCTAAACGAACCCATTCGGTAAATGAATGAAATCAGAAACTGCGATTTCATATTTCATTATTGATTGTTGTATCCACTAGAAGAAACGAGCGAGTGCTTGTAACCCGACATAAACTAAAGATGGTTTGTTCGAACTTCTGACAAAATAAGTTTTTATTTCGAAACATTTTGTTTCGAAATAAAAATCTATCACCTGAAAAAGATTTATTTTTATCTGATTGTGGCAACCACTTCACAAAGCGATTAAAGAGAAACTATGGGGTACATAATGAGTGTATATTAGTGCCATTAGAAACATTTTTAGAATCGCTGAGACAAAACTAAACGTCGAAAAAAGCGCCAAAAGGGGATCCTTTAGGTCGTCAGGGGATCGAATCCCTGAGGGTTTGGGTTTCCCCTTGTTTCCGCTACTGCAAGTGAGTGTTTAGAAAGAGTCGGATGATAGATCACAATTAAGTCCCTAAACAGATGTGATTCCGCAAAAATGAAAAATTTTTGAGAGAAAATGCAATAAAGATTAGTCTGAAATACTCATTGTTTTAAATTTTTAGATTGAGTAAAAAATTATTGAAAAAAAAGAGTTTCAATATTGAGAAAGACTTCTCGAAAGACTTCTCGAAGAGGGAAGTTCTAAATGTTCTATCTACCCATTGAGGTTACTATGAAAACTATTCGATTGTTAATTGTTCTAACAATGGGAGCTATGTTAAAAAGTTGATTAATTGTTTTGATACGCCCTCTACGCGCTATGTTAGGTCAAAACAATATAAATTACCTGAGACAAAGTACAACTAAAAATCAAATCCGTTTCTCGATTCAGCTTGTAATGATTAAATTCGCTGCTGTCGTTTAAATAGAACAAAAATGATTGCGCGTTAACCCCAACTTCGCAATTTTTAAACCTTTGTAATTTCACAAACTTTGACTGCCGTAAAGTCTGGTTTTTATTTCGAGCTCAAATCATAAATTGATTTCAGAAGATAGAATATGCAGTGCTGACAAAATGAAGAAAACTTGAATTTTCCAACGCGTTTTTCTCAATTTGGGTTAAGATTAGACAAAAAGTTAATTAAAATTAATTTTTTGTCTTATGTCTTTTTGTTCAACATTAATATGGTGCATTTTCAATTCTCCCAAAAATTTGAGTAAATCACATTTCTTGACTATCAAGCAAAAATAATTTCTCTTATACAGGTTTTTGGAGATTTAACATTCCTAAAACTTTGTTGGGCTGTGTAAGAGGTTTCTTGTGATTATATATTTCTCATCAATTAACAAAGTAGTTTCAGCGTAATTCTTGATTATTTGAAAAAAAGCCAAAATGACCCATTTTTGGGCTAATACTTTGGTTGAGAATTTTGGAGACAAAATTGCACCATATTATTCCTGATGAAATTCTTGGCAAAAAATGCTTATGAAAATTCAACTTTTGTTCATTGTGTCCAGATAATTTAAATCAGCACTGTATATTGTCCAGTTTACAGTGCTGATTTAAGGCTAATGCAAATTTGGCTAATGCAAAAAATAACACATTACAAATGTTTCGTCAACTTCTTCGAAAGAAAAGTACTGTTATACGGGGGAGACCAAACTCAACACTTTTCAAGAAAAAACAACAATGTTTTAGCGCATAAACAGTCGAGTAATACGTACTATAAATTCAATTAAGTAGGGCGTCTATAGTATAATGATTTAATTACCAGAGTGCCAAACCCTTGTCTGTCCAAACAGTCACATTCAAAATAGTTCATTACAAAACAGCCCGGAAAAGTGTGAAAAAGGCGTTTAAAACAGTCTTATAAACAACTTTTTTGCGGGCGCTGCAGTCGTGTCACCGTGTTGCGAACTTGTCAACAAGTGGTACGGCTATTTACTGAACTTAGAATCGGTTGTCGCCGACAGCCGGCTAGTTGTCTACGACCGTTTAAAGTTCATATGCACTGTTTTGTATCGGACTGCTTTTGCTCATATTCCCAATCGTTTTAGATTTTTTTGTATTGGATTGTTTTGTTTGGAAGTTTTTTATATTCACCGTTGATATGTAAATTTACAAGATATCTATTTGATGTCTGATCGAAATAGTCGAGAGTTCAATCTCAAAACGAGGTTTCTTGTTCATGACCTTATGTATGGGTGCATACTGTAGTGCTAAAAGGATCCAGTTTAAACTGAAACACAGTTGTTTTAAGGACATTTTGGGAGAAATATCGAGAATAAAACATTTTCTTTTTTCTGTTTTCCGATTTGGTTTTGAAGTTTACGTGTCGGAATTTTTTTGTTTTTCTCCCCACTTGTTTTTTTTGCAAGTTTTTTTTAAATATTTGCCGGTTTTTATAAGTAGACTAAGTAGGCCATGAAAACGTAACCCGGGTCCAGGTGCTCATTTTAGGGTTCGACTTTCTCCGTAGAGCACATTTCAGTTCTCGACTGAAAAAGGATTGTCCAGGCAGGTGTTCGAGTCGAGCACAAACTCGAAACATACCTCGAGCACGTTCAAAATATTCCGCGAGCACGGCCGTGTGTGGAAAATACCGATTGACCCGCGGTTACTCGTAGTCAAAAAAAAATTCTTTCCAATGTCAACATATTTTTAACTTTCCGTCTCAAATTCCAAACCAGTATTTCAAAAGATGGAAAAATAGCTCAACAAAATCATCTCTTCAGCGCATTGAATCTGCGTATAGCTCTAATTATTTCGTTCTGATCAAAAAGCATCATAAGAAATTATAACGTTCAAATTTGGATAACTCATGCTGTTTGAAAGTCGACAGATACCCAAATTCGGTCAAGCACAGTCGATCACATTTGTTTCGCTTGAGTACGGTCAAAACATACCAATTTTTGGCCGAGACGGTCGAAACATATAATGAGCACCTCGCCCCCAAAAGTTTCTCATTCTTTACTTCGTGAAACCACTCGTTACAAATTATGTTTATGTGAGGTGGGAAGTGGAAGAAAAAAGACCGTTTTGGACTCACAACTCTGGTTGTTCTGGTACAACTCTGGCTTTGTTCTGGTTGATCTTTTTCGACATTTCAACTCTTGATTACAATTTCAATTTGTTTTGCTTAAATAAAATTATATTTAGTAAACGTTGATTAAGATGGCCCAGTTCCGAATTCTTTTACTGACAAAAACAACCATTGGAAAATAGCCAACACGTGTCTCAACTGTTTTAGTGTGTGATAACTCAATAAATTTAAGTATGTGCCACTCAGCTCTGAAGAAAAAACTAAAAACTGAAAACTGAAACCTTAGGTAGTAGAAAAAACTAAAAAGTAAAAACTGAAACCTTAGGTAGTTTTTCAATCAATCAATCGGTATTAGGCGCCATGAAAAAAATCAATACTTCAGTGTACTTGTCAGTTGCATTTAAGCTACACTTGTGAATGTCCGACTATACTTTTTATCGGTGGATTTGTGTATACACATTCCCTGCCGGTCCCAAACTTTTTCTTCTTCTTTGTTTTGATGTTTATCTTGCATTGAACCAGTTCGCAACATCTATCTGGCATTCAGAGGAGCCAGAAAATTGCAAATGATCCTTTGGATAGCACCTCTGGAAATCTGGGAAAGAGTATTCTGAAAGGAGACTGGAAGAATCACGCCTAAAACAACCCATATAGTTATTATTATGAGGGCTGCCAGCGTGATCAATTCTTCATAAATAAGTAACTAATTGGAAGTTTTTGCAAAAAAGTATTTTTTCTAAAGCTCTAACCTAACACTAAAAAAGAACTAAGGGAGAGCTACCAAGAACGTTTTCCATAAAATTTCACAGAGAAAAGAGTTGAACTGAAATTGAATCCTTCCACTGAACACATTGCGACAAATCACCGAATGACAAGCCACGATATTGGTGAAGCCCTGTGTACAAACGCCAATGAAAACAACCAATGTGGTCCAAGTCTCCTCGTGCAACCAAATGCTCTCTACGTAACCGCACACTCCCTCGCGGACCATCAGATCAGTGTTCTACAATAAACTTTCGAGGGAAATCGTACAAAACCGCATCTGGCTGCGTGAAGCATTCATTACCCATTAAACAACTAAGGCAAATCAACTACGACCTAAAAACACTAAATAGTACACCTCTGCAGAAGATTGCAACAACAAATGATTATAATGTAAACGTAAAATACGTTCACCACATTAGAAAAAGTTTCACGTATAAACAACATAAAATTTCAATAAACCCCGATGAGTGCGACCCGTTCTGATGTATTTTATTATATCTTTTTAGTTTCTACTTTCTGGCGCCATGAAAAATGACTTTGAAGCATTCAGTTCTACTAAATCATGTTTCATAAGTATTTAAAATATTGATTGAAAATTTGCCGGGTTGACCTCCATAGACCAGAAAGGCTAATATATGTCTATGTCTATGAAAAAAAACTACTCATACAAACTTCATACAATTTGCTATAATGGTGTCATCGTATTTTCGACGAATTTTTTTTCGTTGTTTTGGCATAAATTTCGGTGTATCGTACTAAATAAAAAAAAGAAAAAAATTTTACCAAAAAAAATGTTAATCATACATTTTTCTATATATGGAAACTGTATGACCAGCACTTTTTGATGGCGACAACAAAAAAACTTTTCCAAATAAATTTGAAAGTGCCCCAAAAAATTTTTTGAGTTTTTTTCAACCGCAAATCGAATTTTATACACAAGCCAACCTTTTTCAAAGATTTTGTTTTTCATACAAAATCTATATTTTTGGGCGCATAAAGTAGTCCTGGATACACTTATATTGGATTATTTTCCTTTTCGCTTAGTAACGTTTTTCAAAAAAGCTAGAAACTCCTATTT